AGATTGTCTTGTTTGAACTGTGTAGAGTGCAGAGGGGCATTTTTGGCAAAAGATGGCATGGATCACATAAATGTGTGAATGAATCTGGATGGGCAGAACGTGAACAAGCTAACAAGAGAAACATAACTTTGTTTCAGTTAAATAATATGTTTTCTTGACTACTGCAGTTTGCTGATAATTTCTAGTTCCTAGTGATTCATGTTGCACATACAATATATATTTTTGGTTTCAGAGGGGCATTTTTGGCAAAAGATGGCATGGATCACATAAATGTGTGAATGAATCTGGATGGGCAGAACGTGAACAAGCTAACAAGAGAAACATAACTTTGTTTCAGTTAAATAATATGTTTTCTTGACTACTGCAGTTTGCTGATAATTTCTAGTTCCTAGTGATTCATGTTGCACATACAATATATATTTTTGGTTTGCACGTTCATCCATTCATTCCACGTTCAAGATTGTTTATGCAAAATAATCCTAATTATTTTATAGCTAACGTCTGCCAGTGCCAATAACTACATTTAACAATGTCACAGTTTTAGATATTGCACATCTGTCACTACAGCTTTTGTTTCAGAATCCAGAACAAATACAAGACAAATGTTGTTTCCTTACCTCCTTCTCTGTTTGCCTAGCTTGAAGTTGTGTTCCCTTGTCTTTTAGTTTACGGGCACTGTCAAGCTTAGCCTGCAGTTCTGCTGCTAAATCCTTTGAAGAAAACAATGTTCCATTTAGTTGTGCTAGATTCTTTTATACAACAAGAAGTGCGTATTATGTTAGAATATTTTCTACATTCGATTTTTCAAAAATTCCTACAAAGTCAATTATGTTAACAGGGTGAAAATCCTTCTAGTGTAGCTGTGCTAGTTTTACAGCCCTGTGGGATAGCAAGCACATGATTTTCAAACCATTCAAGCAACTCAGACTGCATTAGATAACTCCATGGGACAAACTCTGCAAATGTGTTATCTGCTAGCAGAATGGATCTTGTGCAAGTAAAACTGAAACTATGGGATGCAGGCCAAAGCTGTATTTTAAGTATCCACAACTTTTAATTTTAACTGCTGTTTATACCAAAGTCAGATCGATTTTTAGGAAATGGATTTAATTCAGAAGTGGCTTCTAAAGAAATTAAAGGTGCACTTCAGTAAATGGGTTCAATTATCGAATGCTTTAGAGTGCCGAGATAATATGAATAATTTCTCTTTGGATTAAAAAGGTAGGATGTACAGTAACATGTTGAAAATATTCAATAATCCTGTTTCACATACCTTGTTTCCCATCAATTCTGCTTTTACAATCCTGGCTCCCAGTCTGTTCATTTCCTCATCGCTAAGAATATGGGTGTTCTCATCCTCTGAAAAAGATCTGGATAAAAACACATAGGAAATTCAGCTAATTCAGTTCTTTATCCAAAATGGAAAGGAGCTATGGTCTAGAGAGAGTCAGTGGCTTACGTGGCTTATGTCAGCCCTGTAGTGTTGTTCACACTGAAGCCAGAGGGAGTGACTCTGAGTGGTTTTACAACACCCCTGTTATCCAGAAATATTAGACCTCCCACTGTACCTACGGGGCTATGCTGGAAGAGAAATGACCTTTCCATAGAGTCCACTCCACTATTGCAAATCAGATAGATAGATAGATAGATAGATAGATAGATAGATAGATAGATAGATAGATAGATAGATAGATAGATAGATAGATAGATAGATAGATAGATAGATAGATAGATAGATAGATAGATAGATAAATAAATAAATAAGAATAATAATCAGAAGTAGGGTGAGGCTGGTTTAAATTCCAGAAAAACGTCCCACACATCTTAAAGATGCAGTAATAAATAGATAAATAGATAAATAGATAAGAATAATAATCAGAAGTAGATAAGAATAATAATTCAGTCTACTTCAATTTCCATTTTAGCTTGCTATCATGTCCAATCCAAGACCCACCTGTACGCAGTGGTCTCATATTCACTTACTTGCATTCAAACTACTGTACCTATGTTCTGAAGTATTAAGAAATGTAAAAACTGTATTTTGCACATGAAGTCCAAAAAAGAGCTGATTCCCTTCTTTCTGATGCCCCCTTTGCCTCTTTCAGCCCCACCAACCAGAATCACAAATGGCATGTGTGTACACACACAGATACACATGAAGCCTCTCCTATTCACTCAAATCACATTTATGTTTTGAAGCAAAAATGGGAAATCTATGGCTATCCAGACATTGCTTGCTTCCAGCTCCCACCAGGCTAATCCAAAATGGTCAGTTGTTGGGGATGATGAGAGGTGTCATCCAACACTCCCTGATGGGGCATGAAGGCCACAGCCCGTTCAACAATCACAAAATCTGGCAGTAAATCAGTTCATCTACATTTTAATAGGTGCTTTCAGTCAAAATGAGAACATAAATCCTACTAAAACTAGGTCCCTTGCACATTACAGGAAAATTGCTCTGAGCCTTCATGTTAAGTGTTCCAATCAGCAAATCTCATAGGACAAACTGATCCGTGCTGCTAAATCAAGGAAAAAGCCATTCTTGAACTGGCACTGATATTTTTAAAAGAAAGTCATTCTGGGTCTTATTCTTTTAAAGATATGCATTGCTTATGATTGAATTTTAAAAATATATATTGATCATTCCACTTGCAAGGATTAATTAATAAATTATTTAAAAAGTTAATGTCAGAATTTTTGTATTTATGCGGTGTTACAAAGGCATGTAAAATGTACAAGAGCCCTAGTTCATGACTTCTCCCCACCTTTTTTTTTCTTTTTTGGCTACACAAGTTCCAAAATCTGAAAGTAGCTCAAAAAAGAAAATTAATACTGGGTTAATAAAGTGTTCCAAATAAGTAACTAAAAATTAAAGACAACTAAAGCATTTTTTTTTCTTCGTTACAAAATAAACAGCACTTTGTCCAATTCAATAGCTTAAGAAGCAAATTAAATAATGTGACTTTGGTGAGCCCATTTTTTTGCTACTCCAAGACACTGTGGTGCTGACTGGATAGCTCAGTAGTTTAGGTATCTGGCTATGAAGCCAGAGGTTGGAAGTTCAATACCCCATGGTGACCTCTGCAGTCACAGCTCCAGAGGTTGGGAGTTCAATACCCCATGGTAACCTCTGCAATTACAGCCAGCCTGAGTGTGACCTTGGGCAAGCAGCACAATCTCAGGGCACCCCCAAAAGTAGAGAAGGGTAAACCACTTCTGAGTATTTTCCTACTTGGAAAACCATGAAAAGGGTTGTCAAAAGTCAAAATGGACTTTATGGCATATGATGATGATATCAAGGGTAAACCACTTCTGAGTATTTTCCTAATTGGAAAAGCATGAAAAGGGTTGTCAAAAGTCAAAATTTATGGCATATGATGATGATATTGAGCCACTGTGTGGACTGGGTTCCGGAACTGACTTGACATTAATTACATGATTATTATTAAGATAATGTGGGAATGTATTTAGAAATTTTCTTCAAAATTGTGTCCCTTCCCACTTCGTATTCATGTGAAATACCTATTAAGAGTCCACAGAAAATCTCTGCTTGGATGAAGTGACAATTGGCTCTTTTAAACACATCTACTGAAAAGGAAGGGCTAATTAGTAGGCCATCAGAGTAGTATGTATTTCTGACCGTGTATTTTCTTTCCAATATCCTGAAATCATTTTGCCATCCCATCTTCCAAACAGTACATTTACCCATGGAAGAGACTGCTGGGGAGTATTTACAGAACTTGGAAATTTGCTTTTTAAAAGTAATTCATTCTCATTATGTATTTGGAAACTGAACTGTTTTTCTCATTCATTCAGTTTTGTAAAAGTAACTTATTATACTGTTCGTTGCACTCAATTCATTCCAAATTAGTTCCAGCTGCCTTTTGCAGAAGGAAAATTACAATCAATAAGAGAATTACGTAAAATTTGAAAAAATCCTGACCGAATGCCACTGAAAACATCTTAAAATGCCTTTTAAATGGAACTTTGGAAAGTAACCAGAAAATTAAAAATATTATCAGTTCCTGCTTCTTGCTCTCTCTTTAAATACAACTTTATCATAGCTTGATTATGAAAACAAAACAAAACAATCAGCTATAGGTAGCTCTCAGCATTTCAAACTTTGCAGCACAGAAAAAAAGTATGCAAGCCCAGAGCAATTAAGGCAGATCATTTTTAAAAACATCCCAAAGCCAAATCTAAGTGTTCCATGTTCTTTCAGTAGGTCACCCAATAGATCTTCATTCCTGTTGTCATAAATTCACTTCCTTAGGGACTGAACCACAAGGAGACTACAAATGTTGCTTCAAGGAAGGGAGAAAGTCATTGGGTAAGTCTACCCATCAATTCCACTTTGTCAAAATGTACATCATAAATTCAGCATAAAAGTGTTTTAGCCTTCCAAGTGTCCCAGGTAAATGGTATCATCAACGCTGCATTTTGTATAATGCCACTTACCCTGAAGAATTAGAAACACTTCATACCCTCTCTCTTGTTTGGAAGAAAAAAAATCTATTTAGCAGTATACAGCCATGCTTTAATGCCTTTCAAGTTGAAAAACAAAGAATGTTGTCTGCATACAAATGAAAGCAACACAGAAAAATGAAAGGGGGGTCTTGTTAAAATGGAAAAGTTAATTCCTTTTTAACCTAGAGTTTTGGTTCTACAGTCACTGATTTTTCCTGGCAGGGAAAAAAAAAACAGCGCTTGGGCAGCATTCAATGGTATTGGATGCTACAGATCCATTTTGTGTTAAAATTACTAAACTGCCTAGAACCCTCACTAATGGCTACAACTTAAATTCTATCCAAGGAGTAGCATGGTGGGAAAGATGAGAGAGAATGCCCCTCTTCTTTCAAATTAAACCAGTTGCACCTGAGGAAGAGTAGTAAGATCTAAAACATGTTGGACTTCAGTCTTTTCCATTGCCCCTTTGGGTGCCTTTTTTCTCCTTACACGCCTATCAGCCTTTGTGTGCAGGTATCATGACATAAACGGAGACCCATATGTGGCCAGCAGGCATAGCAGAAGGCAGGGCAAACTAGCTGAACCAAGTTTAAAAAAACCCATGCATAAAGCATCACCTCCAGCACCCTTACGTTTAATTTACTTTTGATGCTAATCTCTCAGCTTCTGAAATATAAAGCAAGAGAATAAATGAAAGGTCCTCTGAACAAATCAGGCTTCAAAAAATGCAGCTTTCAAAGGGCTCCAAAGAGATTTCTCATAACTCCTGATTTGATTACAAACCTTTGCGGTTTGATAAGAAAAGTCTTTTCGCCCAAGTTCTTTTTTATATATTTCTCTGACCTCATAATATATAATTCCCACGGGGGCTCACATTAGAGGAAGAGATTTCCATGTAAGTAGAAATTTGTTTCTAGACTGACTTGAGCCCCAGCATTTTAAAACAAAAATTTGTTACTATTCAGCTTTTTCTTAACTATTACAATACTTAGTACCATCAGACACAACTATACTTCTAAACACTGTATTTCAAACTTATCCCTCATGCAGATGTAATCAAGACTCCCATTTCTGAAATAAAACTAAATACCCCAAACATGATGAACTATTGTCCAACGCCTCCTTTTCCCCCAAGACATCCTCTTGGCTCTTTTCTTGTTTTTCTCTTGTATCCTCCTCCTTACTGGCAACAGAAATGTCTGTTTTGAAATGCTTTTCATCTAGTGCACTTTTTCCAGTTTCTTCCTTTGGTTGACCTTTACGCCATCTTGGGACATCATCACCACCACCAGGTTTTCTGAAGCCACAACTCATAGAACTAGGGGTAAGTAACTGGGATGAAGGACTTTGCATCTTGCTTCTTTGGATTCCATCATCATCAGGCTTCCAAAATGCAGCTTTCAAAGGGCTAATAAAAGGTTTCTCATAACTCCTGATTTGACTAGAAGTTTGATGAGAAAAGTCTTTTGACCCAAGTTCTTTATCTTTTTTTGGCCACTCTCTCCTGTAACTTCTCTGTTCTTTGAAATAATCTTCATCTCTCTTAGGATCTTCCACATATGCATGCTTTCCTACACTGCCTTCTTCTTGCTTCTCTTTTGCATCCCTCTGTCTCATAGTACACGCCTTTTCTGAATATTTACTTTTTTGCCAGTCTTTTCTATAATCATTTTCTTTTCTTAGTACAGATGCTTCAGCTGCTTCCAACCTTGACTGGAACTGCTCCACAGACTGTGAGAAAGAAGGGAAAGCTAAAAGTTACACAGCGCTAGCAACATCTTATGAAAAATTCTTGTTGTTAATTATATTTTTATTCCATTGTTCTTCCATAGAGCTCACAGTTCCATTTCCTACACTTTCAAAACAGTAATGCATAGCTCTGACAGAAAATAGTTGTTCTTGAGTCATCCATTGAATATTTTTGCTAAGCAGACGTCTGAGTCCATGTCTTTCCAGTCAAAGCTAACACTCTACCTATACCATCATACTATTATAAAGACAGCACAAACTATTTTCCTTTATTGACTGGTACATAGGTTATCCAGTGCTATGTACATTTACTCTGAAGTAATTTTAACAGGATATATTAAAAAAGTTGAGGACTGCATCTTTGATCTCCTAGCTCCAGAAGATATTCAATTAATTTTAGCCAGATATGCAAACAAGTCTCCCAATTTAAGAAAACATATGCTGGTTTTCAAAACAATGTACTGATCTGACACACAGGAAGCAGCTTAGAAATAATAATCAAATTGTATAACCTGCTCTACTTATGTTACTCTACATACACCTTGTCTTCCTATCCAATTCTCCATGTCTCTGTAAAACAAGTCAGAAATGCTATCAATTCAGTCTTTAAAAATAGAAGGAATGAGAGAATGATTTAGCTCTCCTGGTCACCATCCATACGAAATGTAAGATGAAACAACTGTCACTTTTTTATACTTCTTTATGGTCTTAGAAGCTGGCTGGATAGCTCAGTGCCTTAGGTATCTGGCTGGGGAGCCAGAGGTTGGGAGTTTGATTCCCCACCGGGGCTCCTGAGATTACAGCTGGCCTGGATGGCCTTGGGCAAGCTGCACAATTCCAGGGTGACTCCAGAAGGGAATGATAAAACACCTCTGAGTATTTTCTACCTGGAAAACTCTGAAAAGGGGTGCCATGAGTCAGAATTGATGTGGAGGCACATCATCATCATAATTATGGTCTTAGAGTTCCATCATGAAGAATATACCTTCTGCAGCTTAAGCTTTATTCTAGAAACAGGTATACAGGAGGACCACAGTATCCACAGATAATTGGTTCTAAGCCATCCCGTGGATGCTGAAGACTGCATATATGCAAACCCTCTGGTGGCTTCTAATTATACAACTTGCAAATCCATATTTCTGTTTTTTATTATTATTTAAGTTTTTCAGGCAGCGGATAACTGAAACTGCAGGTACTGATACCATGGATAAGGTGGTCCTACTCTACACTTATTTTTTCTTAATAGTATTTAGAGATATGAGTACAATTATGAGGCCTCACCTCTGAGTTACATCTGTATCTATATCTACATCTGTATCTGTTGGAATCATTACATAGATTGCCCCAGTCCACTGCACAAATGTTTTTGCTAGGCACAGATAGTGTTTTTTTCAGTGATTACCCCATATCTTTCAGCTACGATTTCATCCAAATCCCGATTTTCTCTCTTAGCTTGCTCCTTCATTCTTTGGTAGGACTTCTTTAGCCAGCTTAACCCGCCATCTTCTACTGCTGTAACTACAAAACAAAGTTCTTAAAAGTGATATATTTGAAAACTGCAAGTTAGTACCATGAACATGATTAAAGATTTGTATTGTACATTAATGTATTTTAGCTCACCTGGAAATATATTTAATTCTGGTACAGTTCCCCAATTGGAGTGCATTTTCTTCTACTTATCTAGAAACACAGCCCACATTACTTTTCTTTAAAAGAGCTCATATTATTCCTACCCTGAACATGTCAAGCAGAGAATTACTAGATTCTCCACCTTAGTGGCAACCATTTCCCCACATTCAGTAAACAGGATTAAAATAAAGACTTAAAACTAGTTGCTTCGTTTCTGCTCAAGAAATACAGTATCACATTGGCCTTACAAAGTTTCATAGAACTGTTATATTAAATCATATTATATTTCACATGAGAGATCCATGCTTAGTTTCTACGAAAATCAATGGGGCAAGCACACAGTTGAATGTTGAAGCCCCTCTAACTTCAGTGTGACTTTAAAGTTTGGACTTTGTCTGACAGTAATTCAGAAGCTATAAAATGTTAAATATGGCTCTCGGTACAAAAACAACTCCCTTTTTGTTTCAGAAATTCGGTCCTATACTACTTATATTGTTCCAAAGTTCCAAACTATAAAGCTATCAGAATTTTTTTTAAAAAGTATTTTTTTTCCTTCCGGTGGTAAACTGTTTGCACTTCTAAAGGATCATATGAAGAACACTGCACACTTTTTAAGGGGATCTCTACCATTCAATGTACAACAGTTGTGTATTTTTATAAATTAAATGCAATATCAAAATGTAATTTTTTTCATTTGCTCTGGCCACCCATACTCAAAATAACCCTAGAGGAAGAAAAAGGCGACATAAATAACATTCTTTGCCAACTGCATCCTTAATGCACTTCATTTCAAAAGGGACTCAAAGAGTTCAGCCGCTGAATATTTTAAAGCTGCAATTTGTGTAATGGAATGAAGGAGATCAAATGAGATGACAACAATTCATCATGTCTTGGTACAATCAGGTCCTTCTTTTTAATTAGTTCACAATGAACTAAAATGAACTTCAGTAAAAACTGAAGGTCAAGCCACTCAAGATTTTAAAAAGATAGAGGGAAAAAAATTAAAGTATTCCACAAAGCCATAGATAGGGAAGGGAGTCAGTCACATTGTAACGTTCAGACGTGAAGGCAAAGAAGTTACCTTTTGTTGATGGTATTACTTCTTCTGGTGGTAAACCTGTGCCCCCGTCTTTCCAGTAAGGATTGAGCTCTCTGTCAGCAAGTAAGAGCTATTTAACAACAACAAAAGTCAGCTGCAGATTTATTTAAAACCCCGTTCACCTCTCAACAAAGTCACTTTGATATTAGTTATCTGTATCATAATTCTGTAGGGATAATATCAACGTTTATCTGGGTATTATTGTTACTCTTTGCATATTTCTGCCAGTTTTTAAAAAATAAGTAATTGAAAATCCATTAAGAGGGGTTTTTAAAAAAATGCCAACATTTTCAAACTAAAGTGGAAAAGGTGAAGGCTCCACATCTCCTTCAGATGTGGAATGCATTAAGTAAGAAATAGGTTTTCACCTCATTTCTTCATACAAGTTCTGAAAGAAAGTATAAATGTACCCCTGGCTTGCCTCATTTTTCTCAAAATAAATGTCACAAATAACTTGGTTAGCACTTCTTTCACCTCAAGAATAAGACGAACGGGCAAATCAGATATTAACAAAGAGAAATCAATACGAATGGGACTAGCAAATATTCAGTGTTCCATAACTGATCTGTTTTGGGACTATTTTTAAGAAGTAGAACATTCAAGTTGGACTCTCCAAGTTGCCTAATGAAGGTTTTAATCAGAAAGCATCCCCTCTGAAGATGAATTACAGAGAGTAAACTTTATACAACATCCCATTTTAAGATATGTTCTATGAGATTTTTTTAAAAAATTTCCTTGGCACAACAGATCATATAGCAGAACCTAACTTCAGAAATCCAATCTGATCATTCACAGATCCTGGTTACAACGGGTGATGAAAAGAGCCCCACCATAGAAGCTGCACATCTCATTTCTCATATGAAAATAGAAGAACAGCAGAAGATATAGCACTGCTCCTTTTTTTAAAAAAAAATACTTTTCATACAGGGGCAAGGTATGAAATAATCTGCAGGGCTTCTGCTATGACCCAGAACTCTGTTCATCTCTGGAGATTTTCTGGAACAATGTTATCTGTCATTCACTCTAGAGAGTCTGTATCTGGGTAATTCCTTTTGCATTATCCCAGTTTTCACCTGTGATTGTAACTCAGCCTATCACTCCCAGCTCTCCTGGTAAACACCAGGCAGAGGCCACTGTTCCACCCACTCTTTTTCCAAGTTGCATGGTTTCAACCACTCCTCAAAGGTTTGACCCTGTTGCCTACAGCCATCAAACAGCAAAGGGAGGAGAGACAGTTGTGGTCAGTATCACATTCAGAGATAAGCAGATGCTAAAACCAAAGGCCACCAATTGACAGAACTGAACACTTACAAGGACAATAAACTTACACTGGTGGTTAATTTTTTTCACAGTGGTGACTACTAATAACCTAACTCACCTGTTCGTTTGCTTGAATTTTCTGTTGCTCCAATAATTTTTCCCTTTGCTTTTCAGCCTTCAGGGATGCTGAAGACACTGTTTTCACTGACATAAAATCAAGGGTCATCCATTCATCCCTCTGAGAGAAAACAAATATTTATACTATTTTTCCGCACATTAAAACAAATCCACATTCAGTATGAACCTATGTTCAGAAGACAAATAACTGAGAAAAGACTCAAATCTCCAACATGATGAAAACATGCTTGATAACTGTCTTAAAGACTATTTTGAGAGAGAGAGTTATCAGAAGCTCTTACAACAATTTATAAACCAAGTTCACCTGCCTTTCCTTAAGTTTTCATACATGCATTCTCAAATGATGCATTTATAAGTAAGCACAGTGGTACACATGGGAAGAAATGAAATTGCGCAAAACTCCTATCAAGGTTAAGAACATGAATTTTTCATTTCTGCATTAGGATCTCGTATTTTGCAAATTATTCCTTCAGGAGAGTTTACGTATCCACTCAGCTCAAGAGTGGTGAAAATTTGATGATTCTCTCTGCACACAGCTTCAGTATCTGTGGCGTTCAACTTGGCAGGCACACCATCCATCATCGGCCACAGGTGTACTGCACAGCTCTTCTAACAGTCAGCTATTCCAACTGTGCCCAGACATCAGATGGACTGTTAAGTGGTTCCAATTAGTGTGCATATTTATTTGTGCCTACATTTGGGAGTCCTAAATTGCACTGACAGTGTCAAGGGCCAGATTGAAGGCCTTTCAAGAAAAACAATTTTGCAAGCTTAGAACAGAACTAAAATGAATTGGAAGACACTGCCAGCTATACAGAAGCAGCTGCAGCACAAAACAACTCATGCCATAAAGACGGACAAAAATTACATGCGATAAACATGGAAATGTCAACAAAGACACATTTCCCACAGCTGCACTGGCCCATTAATAACTATAATCAATATTCCACTTTTAAAAATGTTTTAACAATGAACAATCTAAAATAAATAAAACAGATTTAAAAAGCCAATAATGGCTTCAACATTATTTTCCAACAAACATTTAAATTGCTCCTAAAATCTTACAAAGAAACATAGGCACATAGAGAGATTATCTCCCAAGTTGCTGCAAAACTGTGCAGAGTATTCCCTCATAAAGTCAAAAGCTTTGCCTCAGATTTTGCCTTAAATTCTATAAAAATGTTTTGCGAGAGCCAGTTAGCAATGCCGGTGCTTAATCAAGTACTGTATAAGCATTTCAATTTGGTTACCAGAACATTTTTATTATATTGTTTACAGTTTATTCTATAGTAAAAACTGGTGGAAGAAACATCGATAATTTAGCATATGCAAATAACAACATATTACTGGTAGAAAGCAGCCATGGCAAGAACTGGCTACAAAGGAAGTCTAAAAAAGAAAGCGCAAAAGCAGAGTTACAATTGAACAGTGAAAAGACAAAATCATGACTAAGAGAGAATTACTGTAATGGGGACACTAAAAGAATTGAAATTGTTATGAATTTCAAATTCACTGATTCATTGATCAAGCCAAGTGTAAACTGCAGCCAAAATCAAAAGAAGTCTGTTGCTTGGAAAGGCAGCTATGACTGATTTAGAAAAGACACCTAAAAGTAAGGATGTGTCACCAAAGACCAATACCAAGATAATCAGTGCTGTGGTATTCCTAACCGTATGGATGTGAAATCTATACAGTGAAGAAAGCTGACAAGAAAAAAAGTTGATTTATCTGAAATGTGGTGTTGGAGGAGAGCTTTATGGATGCTGTGGACCACCAAGAAAGTAAAATTATACCCCCAATACTCTCCAACAGAGAGAATGACAAAACGACAGCTATCACATATTGCACATATCATGGCAAGATAAGATTGAGCAGAAAACAGAACAATGCAGGTTGAATGCAGCAGAAAAAGAAGCAAACTGAATATGAGATGGAATAATTGAATAGAGAAAGCCTCAGCCTTTGGTTTATATGACCTGAGCAGGTCTGCTAAGGATAGGACCTTCTGAATGCCCTTGGTTCACAACATCACTTTGGGAGCAACTTCATGGCATATGAGAACAACGATAGCTTATTCATATTTTATAACAGCGGCTTTACTGAGATGGTGTCTCAAGGACTGTCACTACCCCCAAACCCTTCCTCAGAAAAAGGTGCTCTCTAAATCAGCAGGACATCGTCCCGCTGATCAGAGGGCACAATGGTTTTATTGCATATTTTCCTAATTGTCCAGTTTTCCTCTTTTTTATGACATTGCCTTGAAAACATTTGTGAACAACAGTACATAAATTAATGTAGTAAGTCAAATGAACATTGGCATGAAAATATGTTAACGGATACTTGAAAAGCCAGTCAGAATAATGTTGTTTTCAGGGATGGAGGCAGTACTGTATTTGTACTTAGAAAAAAAAATCATGCACCATCATCCCACTGCCTTAAACTCAGCAGAAACATTACTTGTTTCCTTTGGAGAGTCAGAAAACATGGTTTAAATGGAAGACGTAACACAACACCATGAAAGAAAAAGGTCGAAGATTATGTATATTTCACTTCTAAATGATTAAGTAACGTATGGGGAAGCGAAAGAATAAGTTCATATGAATTCCAGAGGCTACGTTGCAAATGATCATTACAGCAAATCAAGAGATTAACAATTTTGTAGGGAACATATAAGTGATACATACTATACTACTACTGTGCTTCCACAGTTCCCAATGACCCCTTTGCAACCTGCCTATATCTCTGAACTTCCAGAGAATGAATAGAGTAATGAAAGTCCCTATAAATAAACCAACATTGCCTGGAGACTTCTTACGATGTAGGAGGGGAGAAACTTGGAGAAGCCATGAAGCCAAGAAAATTCCCTGGGGTTAAAACGGGCAGCAGATAATTATGAGTCTACTATGATATATACATGAAAGAAAGCCAAGACACCATGACGGCACTTAACAGGAGTGCATTCATAAGCTGCATCCCCTGAAAAATACTGCCGGGTTCATGGTGGAGCAATTTCAACTGAAATGGTTGCAAGTACAGTGCCTCTTTCCAAATGTTGGTGAATTGCTTGCATTGTCAAGAGAACAAAGTTCTTCTGCTTTCACCTCACACACCATTCATCATGCTGGTGAATTACAGTGATTCATCCCACGATTCTTCCTCCAGTGGTAAGTAACAAATAAACTGAACTATCTACAACATTACTGCAATACGGATGGCTATGTAGCTGAACAAAGGAACAAACCATAGTACCTGCTTTGGAAAACAAACTATATTCTTAAAACTAACCACACTCTTATAAATGAGTGGGCATCATGAAATGCATATAAATCCATTCCAACTGCACAGTAAAGAAACTAAATTCCATTTTAAATTAAACCGGTGCATAGAAGTTTCCAGCAGGTCTTTTCCTGTCCAACAAGTTTAACAACATTTGTATTTATTTTATTTATTTATTTATTTAATTTATACCCCGCCTATCTGGCCCACCGGACCACTCTAGGTGGCTTCCAAATATAAAATCAAATAATTTAGTTTCTCAAGGTACATTATAGAAATGATTATAGCAGCTAAGTTGCGATTGGAAGGAAATCTTAATTAGGGTAACTTCACTGAGTCCAAGGTTCATACACAATTTATAAATGGAGTCTAGTAAAAGAAGAATAATTTTCATGGACACATGCATAAAGTCCACATTTCAAACGAAACAAGTTAAGACCAGGCATGAATTATAGTGTAATTAACATTTTAATTTGCTTTTAATTTAACCTATATTTCACATACGTCCATAATTTTACATTGTGCAGTTCTCTGATATGAATAAAGAAAGATTGTCATGAACTCAGGAAGTGCCCTGGGGACAGTTACTACATCTAAGCCTCAGCTACCAGTATGTAATGAGGAAATAACAATGCTGAGCTGTAGTTATAAAATGTACTTGAATAATTTTGCAAATTCTACACCTTGATGTGTTTAAAATAATCTGAAATACTGTAAACACTGTGACTACAAATAAACAGATTTGTTATTAGGACTTCCCAGGTTTGATATTAGGGGAGTGGGGGATTGTAACCTTGTCACTCCTCAAACTATTTCTATGATTTAAGTCCTTCAAAGTCATCTAAGTCTGCTTTTTCATAGATAGGTGGAGAAATAACACTATAAGTGCTTTTATTATTCTCCCTGCCCACTAACAACTTTATAGGTAAAAGACTGAAAGTGGATAAAGGACAGAAGAGGGAAACGTTAAAGACCTTTTCACCAATCCTAAAATCACTTCCTTCCCTGTAGATGCTTTTAGTGTCAAACGAGCAGAGAACAGTTCACATTAATTCTAGTTCCAGGGCTAAATGGCCTTAGAGGCTGCTTCCAATTCTGTGATTCTAGGCGCTTACCTGAACTTCCCTGGGACTTCCTGCAGTGTTTGATTGCTCCTCCTTAACCTTCCAAGCTTTGTCTGTGCTTGAAGAGTGTGAAACAGAAGCTTCAACCCATTCCTCTGATGAATCCTACAAAAACATGCTGAGTTTTAACATTGATTTCAGAGGTTTGAAAAAGGGGCTTTAAAACTGAGCCAAATGGTTCACGTGTCATTTGCAGAATATTTTGATATAACCTTCTTAAGTTATGCACACCAGCGTAAATCCACTGACCTATGCTTCAATGACAAATTGCCACAAGAAGTCAATGTATGCATTTGCTGTCCCATACAAATCACGTGACTCAGCACATGACAGCAAACACCTATGCTGACTTCTCAATTTTCAACAATCCACAGCTGAAAGAGAATCATGGATTTAAGCTGGCACAAATATAGTAATAAGATTCCAGCTATAATACCACCCAAAAAAATCATTAAAGGCTACTAGGGAAATCTAATGTGGAAAAAAAGAATCATAAGGAAAAACCTAGCAAATAGTATAACTGGGTACAGCTCTAAATAAACACCTACAGGAAATGGAAACGCTGCCCTAACCAGTGAGTTTCTGTGCCTGTGGTGGGAAGGAGGCTGGCGAGAATGGGAGATGCCCTGCCCACCGATGGCAAAAAGCAGATTCAGAGTGTTTTGCCCTGGAAGAAAAGGCGTCCCCAAGGAATTCCAGTCAAAGGTTCAAACCTCTGAACCCAAGTGGATCCCAGCAGCCCAAACCCTCTTACATAAAATTATGCCTGCACAAGTTGATGACATTTTCAACCACAGGCTTTTTAGCTCATTAAGCTTTTCCTATTCCATACCGCCAGGTTCCGAAGTTCTAGCTCCAGCTGCAAGGAAGGAGTACGTAAATGCCACCAATTATGAGCCGAAGCTCTGCTACTGTGAGTGGATGGAGGCCAGGCATCACAGAAACAGAGAACGCATGCCCATTCTGCTCCCATGGAGCAGAATTTTCCTTCCAGGTTTCCTCAGCTAGAAGGGACTTGGAAGCATGTCTATGGGACGGACAAGCTACCTAGCTTTTGGCCCTTCCTTCCTACTTCCTGCTCCATCCCAGGGCTCTGTCCTGATTTTTGTGATGCCCCCACCTGAGCACTGACTACTACACCCAAGAAACGTGCCTGTCCAAGATCTCTAAGGACTGGCATTGAAGTGGGGGTAAGAGTGGCTTCCTTATGCAGGAGACAGATTGCTCTTCTGCTGCTATTCAGCCAACGGATACCTGAAGGACCCAATAAGCTACGACCTGCAGCAAGCACACCTCCTGGAGGAAAGGGTAACTGAGTGGTAACTGCACCTGCAGTGATCTCAGCTACTGTACAGCATTGCTGGGCCCTAAGTACTCTTTTCCTTCTCTATATAGAGTGTGAAATAGGAAAACAAAAAGGGTGTCGTCCACATGGTTTCTCTTGAGGGGAAAAACAACAGGAAAAAACATGCTACTGCCATCACTGCAGGAAAGCCTTGTTTTCTCCATATTGCTTCTTTATGCTACCTCTTTTATATTCCTTATATTTGTGGCCAAAATAAAATAAGGACACTGCTGGTGGAGAGACCAGGCAGGAGCTACCTTTTTTGTGAAAGTCAGAAGCGTACCGCATTCCCAGAGGACGGACTGTAATTACTGTTACAAACAAAGGAAGTAATATCACCTGAAACAACTTATCAAGTTACAGAACTTACAGAACTACTATCCGATGAATCATTGCTTTTTTCAACTGTATGCTTCTTTTTCTTTTCTTTCTTTTGTTTCTTTGAACGCTTCTCCTTTTTCTTCTTTTTTGTAGTAGAATGTTCCTACATAAAGATTTATGAAGTGCCATAAAACAAGCCAAGACGCAATACAGTACAGCTTACTTTGTCATTTTAAATTGCACAATACCTTCTGTACCAAGTCAGCTGTGCCATTTCCTCTCTCCGCTAGCATCACTTGAATTTAGATTTACGTTGCATTCTAACAATTTATTTAAATTGTTTTATTTCACTGTACATCAGGTTTTTGGACAAAAAGATGGCATGTGTTCTTAAATGTTCAAAGAAATACATTTATGCTTCACAAACAATAGAAATATAAGCTGGCATTCATTCCAAACTGAAGGATTAATTCCATGGACAAATTAAAGGTTCTGGCTGATTAATGGGAAACAGCCCTTCCTCATTGTTTATCATTACCAGAGCCCATCTATGTCCTCCAGACACATTTGACTTTTGGACACAAATATATACTTCTGCAAATGTATTACCCTATTATCCAAATTACTATCTTTCAGTGTGCGGTTTATAGACCAGTGGTGTCCTGATTTCCCCCTTTTCTGATATTCCATTCCTGCTGGCAATGTGGGAAGAATGTGAGAGGACAAATAAATAATATTGCATCACCACAATGATTACTACATCAATTTACCCTACAAGGGTCACCTTTTTTAGTTCTTCTAAACGTTCATTCACATCAGATAGCATCCATGTATCCTCCCCTCGCAGTCGCTTCAGCTCTTTGCGTCGCTCTTCCTTTTCATAATCAGCTTTTGCCTAAAATAGAGAAACGAAAAAGGGGAAAAAAATTCAATGCACAAATGTGTGAAATAAATATTTGATACTTTGGTGAGATTCTTAATTTTGGATAAGTACTCTGATAATGTTCCATGATCATCAGCTGCTTATAGCAAAACTCAAGCTTAAACTGAAGAAAGTAGGAAAAACCACGGGGCTAGCCAGGTATAATGTAAACCAAATCCCTTATGAATATACAGTAGAAGTGAAGAACAGATTTAAGGAACTAGATTTGGTGGACAGAGTGCCTGA